ACACCTGTATCACCTGTACTGTGTCACCTGAGACACCTGAGACACCTGAGACACCTGCACTGTGTCACCTGTGTCACCTGTGTCACCTGAGACACCTGCACTGTGTCACCTGCACTGTGTCACCTGAGACACCTGACACCTGCACTGTGTCACCTGTACTGTGTCACCTGAGACACCTGCACTGTGTCACCTGTGTCACCTGAGACACCTGCACTGTGTTACCTGTGTCACCTGTGTCACCTGTACTGTGTCACCCGAGTCATTCCTGTGTCACCTGTGTCACCTGCTGTCACTCCTTGCCGCCTTTTCTGTCCCAGACTGGTCCCAGTGCCCATCCCAGTCCCTCCCAGTCCCTCCCAGTCCGTCCCAGTCCCTCCCAGTCCCCCTTTAACCCATCCCAGTCCCTCCCAGTCCCTCCCAGTCCGTCCCAGTCCCTCCCAGTGCCCCTCTAACCCCTCCCAGTCCGTCCCAGTCCCTCCCAGTGCCCCTCTAACCCCTCCCAGTCCGTCCCAGTCCCTCCCAGTGCCCCTCTAACCCCTCCCAGTCCGTCCCAGTTTCCCCAGTACCGGTTCCGCGCTGGGGCTCCACGCTGGGGTCGCTCACCACGGGCAGCAGGGCCCCGCTGAACGGGTGCCTCACCTGCCGGCCCTGCAGGTGCTGAGGGGGCGTGGTCAGCCCTGGCCCCGCCCCCAGCCCCGCCCCATCGCACCCTGCCCCTTTAAGAGCAAGCCCCGCCCCTTTCCGACTCTGGACCAATCCCTGCCAGGCCAGGCCCCAGCCAGCCCTTGGCCACACCCCCAGAGCCATTTAAGGCAGCAAAGCTCCACCCCTTTAGCACAAAGCCCCGCCCTTTTACCCTTATATGGTCAAAGGGGAGGGGCCAAAACTGGACAGCCAATGGCTGCCCTGCAGGGAAAGCCACGCCCACACCAATTATGGGGTGTCCAAAGCCCCGCCCCCAGGCGAGGCCCCGCCCATTCAGGTCCCGCCCCCAGGTAAGGCCCCGCCCCTTTTGAGGCCCTGCCCCCATTCAAGCCCTGCCCAGGTGAGGCCCTGCCCCCGTTCAGGTGCCGCCCTTTGAGGCCCCGCCCCCTCTGTGGCCCCGCCCGTTCAGGCCCCGCCCCTCACCAGGTACCGGGGGTCCCGCGGGTGCACGGCCACGGCCACGTCCCCAAAAATGGTCTCGGGGCGAGTGGTGGCCACCGGCAGCTCCAGCCCTGGGGACAGCGGGGACAGCTTGGGGACATCAGGGACAGCTTGGGGACACTCAGGGGACACCTGGGGACAGCTCAGGGACAGCTTGGGGACACTCGGGGACACCCGGGGGACACTCAGGGACAGCTTGGGGACACTTGGGGACATCAGGGTACACAGCACAAAACCCAGGATCCTGCCCCCAGTGCCACCCAATGTCCCCAGTGCCACCCCCGATGTCCCCAGTGCCACCCCAGGTGTCCCCAGTGCCACCCCCGATGTCCCCAGTGCCACCCCAATGTCCCCAGTGCCACCCCAGGTGTCCCCAGTGCCACCCCAATGTCCCCAGTGCCACCCCAGGTGTCCCCAGTGCCACCCACCATCGTCCCCCTCCACGGGGTAGGCGAAGGTGACGAGGAGGCCGAAGGTGACAGGGTGGGGACAGTTGGGGACGTTCAGCGTCGTGGGGCCTGTGAGGACACGGGGCTCCACCTGTGGGGGCAGGGCAGCTCAGGGACACGGGGGACACCTTGGGGACACCTTGGGGACACCCTGGAGACACCCTGGGGACATCCTGGAGACACTCAGTGATCCCACAGTGACCCCTGGTGACCCTTGGTGACCCCTGGGTGACCTCAGTGACCCCTGGTGACCCTTGGTGACCCTTGGGGACCCCTGGTGACCCTTGGTGACCCCTGGTGACCCTTGGGGACCCCGGTGTCACCTCGATGTCGGCCAGGGCGGAGCGCAGGGCGCAGCTCCAGGTGACAACGCGCCGGTCACGCCGGATCAGCCCCGCCCGGAACAGGCGCACGAAGGCCTCGGTGACAGCCCGGGAGTAACCCTGGGGACAGAGGGGACATTGGGGACATCAGGGACATCCTGGGGACATTGGGGACATCCTGGGGACAGAGGGGACATTGGGGACATCCTGGGGACACCCTGGGGACATTGGGGACATCCTGGGGACAGAGGGGACATTGGGGACATCGGGGACATCGGGGACATTGGGGACATCGGGGACATCCTGGGGACATTGGGGACATTGGGGACATCGGGGACATCAGGGACACCCTGGGGACATCCTGGGGACACCCTGGGGACACTTTGGGGGCACTCTGGGGACACTCTGGGGACACTCTGGGGACACCCTGGGGACAGTGGGGACATCCTGGGGACAGAGGGGACATTGGGGACAGAGGAAACACTTTGGGGACACTTCGGGACACCCTGGGGACACCTTGAGGACACTGGGGACAAAGGGCACAGTTGGGGACACAGAAAACACTTTGGGGACACCCTGGGGACACTTTGGGGACACTCTGGGGACACTTTGGGGACACCCTGGGGACACTCTGGGGACACTTTGGGGACACCCTGGGGACACTTTGGGGACACTTTGGGGACACCCTGGGGACACTCTGGGGACACTTTGGGGACACTCTGGGGACACCCTGGGGACACCCTGGGGACACCCTGGGGACACCCTGGGGACACTCACGGGGTCCATGGTGAAGGTGCAGCGGCTCCAGTCCAGCGAGGCCCCGAGCGCCCGCAGCTGCTGCAGGATCTCGTCCCCGTGCCTGCGGGGACAGGGGTGACACCGTGGTGTCCCCGAGGTGTCCCCGGTGTCCCCGAGGTGTCCCCAATGTCCCCGAGGTGTCCCCAATGTCCCCTCACCGCTCCTTCCAGCGCCAAACCTCCTGCAGGAACTCGGCCCGGCCCAACTGCTGCGGGCGCAGCCCCCGGTGCTGCCACAGCCAGCGCTCCACCACGGCCTGGGGACATTGGGGACATTGGGGACACCTTGGGGACATTGGGGACACCATGGGGACATTGGGGACATTGGGGACATCAGGGACAGCCCCCGGTGCTGCCACAGCCAGCGCTCCACCACGGCCTGGGGACATTGGGGACATTGG